AGTCCATAGCTGTGATTTTTGTTGTATTCATTCACTTCTCTAAAATTAGTTTTTGACCATCAGAGATTTCTCTGAAGTAGCACATCTGTGTGGGCCTGGTGCCAGAATAGCTACTACACTATGTGAAAAGCTGTCTTCTCTTCTGGATGTCCTTGAGCTGTATCAGCCTGCCCTATATGCCTTCTGCTGCTGCTATGGGCTCTGATAACTATCTTCCAGAAAAACTTGCGGTGGTATTTAAGGCTTTATCACTACCTGCCTCATTGCCCTGCTGCAGGGGAAATCCAGTGCAGAGGGTGCATGCCTGTTATTTAGCTTTTCCCTTTCACAACACACACTTCAGTGGGTTGTCTTAAGCTGTTGACAGTGATTCCCCTGAGGACTATGTTCGTTTGTTTGGGCAGCAGTCAACTCAATGAAAGAAGCAAATATTTGGGTTGTTGGAAGTGCCCTAAATTGTGCCCTACACAGTCAGGGGCTCATTTGTTTTTCTCCTGACTTCTGTGTTCCTCGTTACTCTGCCTCAGATACGGGGTTGAACGCATCTTGATCCCACCTAATCTACTCCAAATATGGCATGCTCTTGAGGAGTGGCAAGTGTGATTTTGAGGCTGTGTCTGAGGGCAGCCAAAAAGAAACATCCTACCTCGTGGGTGAGCACTGCAGTTACTGAGCTAAGTTGTAAGTGGCTGGCCTCACCTTTTCTGCCTTAAATCAGTCCTAGGTTTTGAGCTGAATCCTCTCTTCCCATCCTCCCCATACTCAGAGAGTAAAGGACTTCTCTGGGGACTTCCACAGAGTCAAGGTGTGTTATCTAGATGGGATGATGGATCTCAGGTGCATGAATAAAAGATCATGACTTATTTCTTCAGGTACCTAATATAAGAACAACTTGTGATGGTGAATTGCTGAGAATTTTGTAGAACCATATTTTGGAAAGGAAACCCTTCTGCAAGTTAGAGAGTAGCCTACCTGAATATAAACAGACAATGGCAGGTACATCAGGACAGCAGTCCTCTGAAGGTCAGTGTTGAGTTGCATGAGGCTACTGAAATACTTCTCATTCATAAGCCACTCCAGGACTAAAATGCAAGACAGTTAAGCTGGAAAGCTAATGTACTGCCTGACAGGTCCAGCTGCCAGCAGAACATCTCTTCCTAATGAAATCCGCATTATTGGTAGCATTAGAAAAATGAAACAGAAAGGGAAAAATTAATAGCTTGGGCTGGAAAATCAGCATTTTGGGAGCAGAGAAATTACTAGGGACCAACAAAAAGTTATTTCTTACTTTAATATACATAATTTAATCACATTTTCAAAGAACTTAGAAAAGTTTTGTTTTGAGTAGTTGGTGCTGACGGAATTTGAATCTTGATTTTGTCCAAACATGGTATACAGTATCTTTTCATATATATTTTTGAAGTGTTCCTGGAAGAGATTCACTAGATAAAAACCATTATGGAAATAACATTAGACATGTATTTCACTGCAACTTACCTAAAATCAAGAACTGTGAGGTAGTGAATTTGAAAATGGTTTGAAAATGTTTTTAAAAAAATTCTATAAACCATTGTAGAAAGTTGCAGAATAAAAACTTGTTGCTGTCTTAATTTCTTTTGTTGTTCACACACACACACACACACACATATGTATGTATGTAGTCAAACCAGAAATCTTCTTGCACCATTAATTACCTCCTTGTAAGTAATTAGACTCAAAATAATTGAAGTTTACTTGTCACTATTAATTCTCTGTTCTTCAGGTTGTCTTTCATTGGTGATATTTTTGAAATTTAACTTCTACTATATAATGCAGGGCAAAGAAGAAGAAGGGCAAAATAAAGACAGTTAGTTCCCTGGGCTATATTCAAAGGGTCTTCCAATAGAGCAACCAGCAAGTACGATTTCAAAAGAAGATAAATATGGTTTCAGGATACTCCACGCCTTCTCCACAACAAATGACACTTAGATGTTGCCATAGCCTAAAAATGCAGTGGTGAATGTCTGTCTGTTGAAGATCAGCATGTTAGTTACGAGCAATAGGAGTCAGCAAAGAGTTCATTTCTCTTTCCTTCTTCTGAAGGGGCTGCAGCAAGGTACAGTTGTTTTCCAAGTCCCTTGTAATAAAGTTCCAGACAACTGTCATTTTACTTAAAAATAATGCACCAGTTGAATATTTAATTCAGTAAAAAAGCAGGCAGTTTGCTAATAGCAATAATTCTGATATTCATGAATATCTAAAGGAGGGAAAATTAGATGATGTAAATTTAATTTATTCAGTAAGTCTAATTTATTTCCTTTAGAAATGGTGGAAACAGAATGATTTTTTGAGTAAAAATTACAATGATATATTAAAGATACCAGGTGAATCTTACAATATAACTAACAGCTGAAATGCTGCTGTATGCTGGTATGGTATTATCAACATTCAAGACTGACATTTTCTGCAGAGGCAAAAGAAGGGAGAGTAAGGTCAGAGCAAGGATGTGCTGGAACTTCGCTCATACCGGTACTTCTAAGAGTTCATAACAAAGCTTCTGCTATCTCAGTTTGGCCATGGGCTGTAACATTTAAAACACAAGGATGTTTTGTAATATAAATAAAATTAAATTCTTTTAACCTAGAAAGTATACTGGAAATAAAGAATAATATAGCTTTGGATTTCAGACTTTATTGCATAGTGGCAATGGGTTTTCTTCACAGATGTTGACTTCCTCTCTCAGGTAGAATTCTTCAGAGTTTACTGAAATATTTATTGAAACATCTGTTGCTGTTGGTCTCTTCTCCTAAGCAACGTTCGGTACCTCCAAAAGCTAAACCTAAAGAAGTTTGAAAGGTGCTGCAATTTGGGAACATCAGACAGTGTCAAATTGCAGACCACTGAGTGCACACTATAAACCGAGATAGGTGGAGAAAAAATAATTAGAGATACTGAAAAGGAAATTCAATGCCTGTAATGGTATAAGGAGAGATAGATTAGATTCTCCTAAATAGTTTGGATTTTTGAAATGCTGAAGTCTATAAAAGAGTAATCATTAGCAACTTTCTGCTTTAAACATTTTATGCAATACAAAACAAAACCATCCTACATTTTTTGGTGGAAGCAATCCTGACACTGTAGGATCTTATTGCCCTCATTTGCATAACTTTTACAGATACCTTAAGGAAATTAACTACTTCAGCAAACCAACCATATCCTATAATTTCAAGAAAAATGAATTTTACATCAGGACAACAGCAGTTACACAGTATAAAGCATTTTGTGAAAGTGATGCAAACATTTCTTACTGAATCCTATAATTATCCAATCTTAGAAACAAGAAAAAGAGAACACTGTAAGCAAAGTATATTTGAATTTAAATTCCATTATAAAGCAGTCATAGTTTTTATTTCATCAGCAAGGTGGCATGGCAATTAGACACCCACATATATACATTCTGATACTGCTTACAATGCCCTTTTGTTTTTTCATCTCAAACCTCTTCCTCAGAGAAACATTTATTATCAAATTCAATAAACTCATTTACATAACTGGTATTCTTAAAAAAATAATTTGCAGCCAGTTTGCAGTGCCCTAGATGGTAGTAAGCTATTTTTGTCGTGTAGTAAGTTCAATGGCATTAAAGCTGAGACTGCCTTACCTATCCATATAGCCTCCAGCTCCTGCCTGAGAGAGGTAAAGGTAACACATAAGGTCTTGTTTAACCCAGAAGGATGACTCACGTTTCATAAGGCAGCTAAAATGGCATTATATGTCTGTGTTGAGGCAACTGAATACCACCATGCCAATAGTCCCATAGCTCATAGGAATCTGATGGTCCTCAAAATGACTTTATGGAAATGTTTAACAGCTACTTTCATCAAAATGTGAAGAGCCCTGCAGTCAGCCAAAACCATTCATTATCATTTAAAGCATATAATTGTCCTAAAAGTGATGGATATGAACATATCAAATCTAAAGAAGTGGTAGCATGTAGATTAAGTATTTTTTAAAGATTATAATATCTAAATAGCTTTGATTTTTTTTTTAAATCTGGAGTTTTTCAAATACCAATAAAATATCTACCCTGATTTATTCTTTCAAAAATTGTATAATCCACAGTGAGGTTACGCAGCTGTGCTACATTGCAGTGATCCACCTATTTTGACATAGCAGCACCCACTAGTTGTAATGCAGTAATTGCACAAGTTGTAATGCCGGTAAGTGCACTGGTTGTAAGGCCAGTAAATCCTCAACTCCCATCAGGTGCTGAACGCATGTGTGTGTGCACATGCACAGAAGTAGTGCAGAATGCAGAAATACTCTGCTTAAGGGAATGCACGTATGGTGCTAACACCCTGCTTCACTGTAAGCTACTTGGTGTCCTAGATCGGTTCTGGGATCCTGCAGGACAATGATTCTGCGTTCCTGTGCATAATCAGGAACATCGAATGGCAGGTAAAACAACTCAACAGGTTACAGGACTGGGCCTAAAGATGAATAATAATTTGGTGGTCATAATTCCGTGAGAGAAAACCAAATCCCTGTCATAGTAGGGGGCTTTTGGTTCACTGTTCTTACCTACAACTTCACAAAATGCTGCATGGTCCCTCCTCGTAGGAAGAGAATGAACCATTACACCTGAGAGAATGTCTTTGCCATGAGATCAAATGTAAAACATCAGGTAAAAAAGCACAGAACCCATCACACCTACCTTAGACAGCCCTGTGAGTGCTAATTATCTACATTTTAGCTAATCTGGTACACCTTTTGTACTAGTACCTCTCTTAAGACTGTACGTCCATTAACCAACTGTCTTTTGTTTCTCATTGCTGTTTCTGCAGGTCAGTTTATGGTGAAACTGCTTTCAAAGACAGTAGGTTAATCACAAATGTTTTAAATAGTATAAAATCTGAAGAATAATGCATAGCACAGATGCCCCTGAAGCCCACATATTTAAATTCCCTGGTACTACAGTTTCTGGTGATTGTGTTTTCAGGTGACACCACGAGCATACTCACCCCTGACAAGCAGCTCCGTCTCATCTGACACGGTGTCCGCTGCGGTCTGAACCCTGCAGCCGTATCTCCCGGCATGCATCAGGAGGATGTTCCTGATCATTAAATCTGCAGAGGATGCTTGCTGAAACAAGGATGAAGTGCCAGTTTAAAATTCAGTAAATCTGTGTTCAAGGTAGTTCATGAGGGTGTTTCTTACAGTGTGAGAAACTCATGATTGCAGCTTTCATCTTACAACGTTTATGTGCCCTAATACCCTCTTTTGAGGATTATCAGAACACTGCATTTGTACAATTATTAATAGGGATTAAAGAAGAGGATTTTAGGTTTTTAATAACTTTGACTTTGCTTAAAGCACACACTGCATATTTGCATGCTCAAAGAAAATGATTCCAAAATAGCACAAAGAAATTAATTAAGGAAATGAACAGAAATATTTTGGATGCAATCTTTGCTATTAAAAAAGTCCTCTTGGAAATGAAGGACTCTTTCTTCCTCTTCCCTACAATGCAGTGACATTTGGTGTATGTCTCGCTAGTGTAATGAAATTAAGATAACTTAAAAGATAATGTTGATTGATTTTTATTAACATAAAGGAAATTAATACTAAATATGATTGAGGAAATATGAACAGATTCTCATTTTTCCATTTTGAGATCTGTATATATTTAAATCTAAGGCATGCAATCCCTGAATGAAGGTACACAGAGAACCAGTTCAAATTTTTAGGGTTTAGTATTCTAGCCAACAGTAATTACAATGCCCCAAAATCAGGAGCAGAAAAGAGAAAATTGGAAAGTAGAACAGACTTTTGGAAGATAAATGGCTTTTGCTAAGAATCTCTGTATTGTTTCATAAATTCAAGAACTAATATTAGATTTTGAATTTACAAAATCATTGTTACAACCAAACTTACTGGAGTCAATAATTGTTCCTCCATCAGATTTAGTGAGCCCAAGTCCATAGATATTGTTGATTTAATTCAGTCACTACTCAGGGAAAGAACAGGTAAGTGCAAACAAAAGTCACCCTGACCACATAGTGTAGCAATTGTAGTTTACTTTCTCAGTTCTGTGTCCTAAAAATTCTTGCAACTTCTGATTTAATGTAAGCACCAACAATTTTAGCAAATTACCTTAAGTATTTTTGTTCCTTTCAAAGCATTTTTTTTTCTCTTAACTGTCAAATGGAAATAATTTCAATGTATTACGAAAGGATAGACAAAATGTCCTGCAAATATCTCAAAATTACCTTATCATTGCTACGTTGTATGATATGTGAACGTAACATGTTAAGTTTTTTCAACATTAATGTAGAGTTTGTATAACATTATATTATAGATTTCATATAATTAATATTTTTAATATAACAATTTAATAAATAATATACAAATATTACACTTACACAGTCTATAATATATAATGAGTAATTTTAATAATTACACAATAATATACAATGTATATTGTTATATTATAAAAACCATTGTTATATTATTCCACTATTCGCTATTATATTATCTATAATGTATATAATACTATATATATAAAATATATAAAGTCTATTATATAATGTATACTAAATGTTATACAATAATATAATATGATATATTGTAATGTAGTAAATATAATATGGTATATAACATAGATTTTTTTATATTAAATTATATTTACCATCTATTTTAAATTGCATATTATAGAATACATTTTAATAATTGAATACTCTATAGCTAATGTAATATGATGTATATTACTGTATGCTACATATTACATGCAAGTGTTTATATGCACCTCTTCGGTGCTTCACTTTAATAAACATTTATTGAGTTTAGGCATTTCCCTTCTCAGATTTATTTACTTTGCTAACCAAGCAAAGGTTGACAGCCTTTCCTTGAATGACATGTTCCCTGTGTCATAATACTCCTGTGCAGTGGTTCTAGTTTGAGTAATTTTGATCCTGAATGAGTAAATTGGACCCTGCATTCAACATAAAGTCTTACTAGGGGTCTATGCATTGATACTTCTCCAGCTGTGCTGGAAATATGTCACTAGGCTTCACCTAGATTCATATTTGCTTGTTTTTTTGGCACATACTTATCCTGTGTTCAGGTTGCACTCAGACCTTTATTATCCTTCTCAACCATTTGCAAGTTATGAGCTCCCACTTTATAACCAGTTGTCCATATGTGCATGACCTTGTGCTTCTAAGTATTACATTCCTTGTGTGTTCCCATGTGTTATTTTCATCATCTGCTGTATTGGTAATATGTCCAATTTTGTACCATATAACTATCATTTGCATACTTTTATCTCTTATGCCAAGGTCATTAAAGACAAGATGAAATAGGATTGGTTCCAAGATCCAATCTTCTATAATTTAATTTTTTCTTTCTAGGCAGAAGAATCTGTTTTCGTCACATCTTGGCACACCTTCTTCAGCCAACCTTCCCTTCATTTGCATTTTTGGAACTGAACTTGTCATAATATTCCATGTAGCACCAAGGCAAAGTCTTTACTGAAGGATACTCACATGCAAAGATGGAAAAGAGAGGTGGGACATCAAGGTTGCCACTGAGATCAAAGTGAATTTGGACACTATCTATAGCTTAAGAACCCTGTAGATCTAAGAGTGTGCATACAGTGGTAGTGCTTTGTGTTCTGAAGTGGCCTCATTAATGATGTTGCTGGTGGGAATATACACAGACCAGTCAGGCCATAATGCAATTCCTATATTCTTGCTCTGGCATAGCAGAAATCACAGCAATGGAAAAGAACGTCCGAGTACTCTGCAGCTCTAAATGAAAAAGAAGAGCACATGTTCCTACCAGGAGTCAACTTCAAGATACAAATTTTTTAAGTTGTCTAGCACAGCAGTGTTTACTAGCCATTGAAACATGGCTTGCTCAAGACGATTAGTGATTCTGGTACAAAGCCTTATCTATTAAAAGAATCAGTCCACATTTGTCCTCTCTTGAGGGAAATTTACATTTAATGTGCATTTTGTTGTTAAGTGGGGGGAAAAGCATAATGGATAGCAACTGTCTATGTTTCATTGCTCAGGAGCTGTTAAAAATCTGGCTGTCACTCTAACTTCCAGAGGGTTCATGACTGTGTGAATCCTAATATTCTTATCAGGAAAAAATATATGTATTTCATCTGTACACCTGTGTAACTGGGCAGACAAGCAGCAATTGAAAGAATCATTGCTCTAAGTGGAGAGCAGTGCAGTACAATAGATCCCCATGAAACACTTACATTTATTACAGCCTAACAGGATGTGCAGCCAGCATTGCTCAGGATGTGTGAGTGGAAATAAATTAAACTCACTGTGTTTAATACAGATGGATATATGCCCAGACATTGGATTCTTGATCATGGGAAATAATGAAACAGTTTAGCTTCCATTTAGATAAGAAGGAGCTATGTTTGACCGGGACTTCTGAAAAATACCATGTTATTTACTGTTAAGTGGTATTTATAAAGTTGTCTTTATGAATTTTACAGACTTTTCCAAGTTTTGGAAGACAGATTATTTTGCTGATCCATTTATCCTGTAATGAGAGGTTCAAGGCTGCAACAGGACCTGGCGGGGTGGTTAAACTGGTGTGCTGGCCTTCCAAATCTTAAGAAAATCTCTGCACTGTGTCATGGCAGCTGCTGCTTAAATTTGAGCAATTACAATCCAGTTTAACTCCATTAAGAAAAGTATCTAAGGTCAGAAACTTCATCTTCTGCTTTTAGTCTTCTCTTAGTGGAAAAAGACACAATGCTTCAGTAAAAGCAGAGACATACCCTCCCCTTCAGGGAAGATAAAAACTGGGTGACATGGATGCGAACAGTGTAGAAAGATCTCTCCTCTGGACCAGTAAGAGTTAGAACAGCCTGGTGTACCAGCAACGATGTGGTCCCAATACTATTCAAAGCTGAAATTAATGGCGCTTAAATTTCTTTGTCTACATCTAAATTTCAACTTTATTAACTTATGTTTTTAAAAGCTGCTTTTTATTTCACTAATTTTATGCTCTTCTGTGACAGGGCATATTTTGCAATAAGTGCTTGATTTCAAAGTAACATTTTATTAGAAAAATGTATATAGCTTGGTTTTCTGAATATCATATATTACCCATTTAGCCAACTATCAAAAGCATTTATATTTGTTCAGGATAAACTTCTACTCTGTGGAATAGGTCTTGCACTTCACAGAAGCTAAGGCTTAAAAAAACCTAAACCAAACCAAACCAAACCAGATAGGTGTAACAGCCAACTTCTAATGATTTTAAGGAAAGTTAAATGTAACCTTCTGGGCCAGCTCAGCTATGGACCTACTGTAAACACTGAACACACTCCTGGTCTTCATTAAGCAGTGAATAAATAATAATACAGCTATCAATGTTATCTGTTATGACTAATGGTTCTCTCTAGGACAACAAATTATTGTATAATTCATATTATGCTCCTGAGTATCTCATTCATTAGGTTCTGGGCAGTTCCGGTGCTGAGTGCTATGTCAATCTATTACTCTTTCTGCTCCAGCATGGCATATTATCTGCAGGTCACAGTTGTGTTTGCAATGTATCTAATTAGTTTTACCTGTAAGGCATTGCTAGAATCAGTGCCACCTATACACAGGATTTGCTTTTTATGTGGAGATATTTCCCCAAACTCAAAAAGGCTCCAAGGACCATGTAATATGCACACTTTGCTCAGTGAGAATCACCTTGTTGGATTTGTCTTTTGCACCTATTGCCCTAATGCTGGGGATTTGCAGAGGGAAAAAAAAACCCCAACTTGCAGAGAATTTACTGTTGGTGAATTAATACTTCTTCAGCCATCCCACATCCCCAGTGAATGGAAGCTGTATGTGGATTTTTTCCTTTCTATTTCATAAATCCTAAGAGGCTGTGAGTTGCTTTTCAGTAAAGTAACTTTTACATATGGTTCTTCAAGTGAAGAGAATTACGCTCTTTCTTCCTGTGAGAGCGAGTTCATTATCTCGAGCCAGTTGCTAGGAAACCTCCCTGTTAATCTGTCCATTCATTTGCTGAGTTTTTATCTCTAAACTGAGGTGGTTCATCCAGTATCCAGCCTTTTCTTTTGAAGGCTTTGCACAAGAACAATCTATAATCTG